TATGCATCTCATTAAGGAGACATATTATTTTCTCATGTGGTCTAGCTGGGTACAGGGCAATTCCAATGATCCATTGGTACCAATGGTACGATTGGTACCAATAGAAAAGCACCCTATTCCAATGGTTCTATTGGTGAATATGCATCTCATTAAGGGGACTTAGATTATTTTCCCATGTGACCTGGTTGGGTACAGGGCAATTCCAATGGTCCATTGGTACCAATGGTACGATTGGTACCAATGGAAAAGCACCCTATTCCAATGGTTCTATTGGTGAATATGCATCTCATTAAGGGGACTTAGATTATTTTCTCATGTGACCTGGTTGGGTACAGGGCAATTCCAATGGTCCATTGGTACCAATGGTACGATTGGTACCAATGGAAAAGCACCCTATTCCAATGGTTCTATTGGTGAATATGCATCTCATTAAGGGGACTTAGATTATTTTCCCATGTGACCTGGCTGGGTACAGGGCAATTCCGAAGGTCCATTGGTACCAATGGTAAGATTGGTACCAATGGAAAATGATGCCATTCCAATGGTTCTATTGGTGCAAAACAAGTTCACTTTTACACCAAGTAGAAACGCGCTAATAATTATTATGAACGTTCCTCGTTCTATAAGAAAACCACGCAAAACAAGTTCGCTTTTACATCAAGTAAAAGCGCGCTATAATTCTTATGAATATTCCTCGTTCTATAAGCCAATCACGCAAAACAAGTTCGCTTTTACACCAAGTAAAAGCGCGCTATAATTCTTATGAATATTCCTCGTTCTATAAGCTAGCCACACAAAACAAGTTAAAACAAGTTCGCTTTTACACCAAGTAAAAGCGCGCTATAATTCTTATGAATGTTCCTCGTTCTATAAGCCAACCATGCAAAACAAGTTCGCTTTTACACCAAGTAAAAACGCATTAATAATTATTATGAATATTCCTCGTTCTATAAGCCAACCACACAAAACAAGTTGCCTTTTACACCAAGTAAAAACGGGCTAATAATTATTATGAATATTCCTCGTTCTATAAGCCAACCACGCAAAACAAGTTCGCTGTTACACCAATTAAAAAAGCGACATAATTCCTATGAATATTCCTCTTTCTATAGGCCAACCACGCAAAACAAGTTCGCTTTCACACAAAGTAGAAACGCGCTAATAGTTACAAAGCGAGGGCGACCTATATATGTAGCGCTAATAATATCTCAAGGTGCTGCGAGTATAACAAACATCGTACGAACATTAAAATTGAAAGGTAACGCGTCACTGTCGTGTTCGTTTTGTTTATTGTGATTCACGAGCAAACAACAACATGACATATGAATGTCTTCTTTCCTGTACGCAAGCACTATTTTTTGGTAATTCTTACTTGTTTAAAAGAACCCGAAACGACGCGGAAAGGCGCGAAACTAGCAAAGTGGTATCGAGGCAACAGGTTTTAACAACTGTACTCAACTCACTGTGAAATTAACTTCTGAAATTTCTTAGCGCCATTTCATTATCTACATGGAAGAACAGCAAGTGGTAACGTTTGCGCATGCGTCAAGCTTGCTATGAAGCACTTGTTGACGGGAAATCGTAATGGCCGAAAGCCGTTCTGAAGCACTTTCAAGGGAGATTTTTTTGCATACCTAATCGACAACAGAAATGTCTTATAGATTGGATACTTTGGCTAAGCCATGTTGAAGTGTCATGTATGGGAGAAGGACCATTTAGGTGGTTAATTTTCGTCCATTTGGCTCCTCTGATGAAGTAGATAAAGCGTTCACGAGGTCGTTTGTTGTGATATGTTGATTTGTTGACATTCAAGCGGTCACGGATTTCTGGGTTATCGTCCACGATCTGCAGAGCTGCCTAACATTTAGGTAAGATATACCCCTTGATTTACTTTGTTAAATGTGGAGCAGCATCATCGAATGTTATGTGTTAAAATTATAGCAGCCCTGAATTCAACGTAATTTATGTGACCCTGGTATTTTTGTAGTATTTGACCCTGACCGTACAGCGAGATCCCGTTATATATGCCACACAAGCGACTAAACAGGTTAAACTTCTCTTTCGGTCACTCCGTATTTTCACTTTTAAAGGTTAATTCAAAGGGGGGAAGTTCGAGTATTTTGATACTATTTAACGGCATGAAATCAACACGCAAATTTCCTACTCTTACAAGTAAGGCCATAGTCGGATGTTTCCTTCCACTTTCGAAAATTTGCTTTTCTGGTTTACATTGGTCCTCTATGGCGATTACTTATTCTCAGAGATTAAGAGATCGAGGCAGTGGATTGTGAAATATTATTTGCTAAAACTTCGTTAAAGATGGACAAATTTTTCTTGTCCTTTTCAACCTTGTTTTTAGATTTTTCGTTAACCTGTGCATATTCACCAATAGAACCATTGGAATAGGATGCTTTTCTGTTGGTACCAATCGTACCATTGGTACCAATGGAGACCCTTCTTATCACCACTAACACCAATGGAGTCTATTTGTGAGTATTGGACAACCCTCAGAATATCAGTAGAATAGTACCACGATTTATTATATACATACTGAGAAATACTCACCAAAAAGCTATGTCGTAAATTTTCGTACGCAAATTAGTTCTAGCCAATCAGAGGAGCGAACGATGGTTTTCACACGTGAAAAAAACGATACGTCCAATCAGAATCGCGAACGATGTTTTTTCACGTGTGAGAAAAATGATACGTCCAATCAGAAGCCACGGAGGTGTGCGAGTTTCGCGCCAAAATTCCCGCCTTTTATTGCAGCTTGCAGCGCCGCTTCGCACACATTCATCGAGAAAAGTTTTACTCAAGGAGTTTTTCTCGCTAAAAAAGTGAAAAACATTTCGGAAATGGAGTGGAATAGTTTCGTTTGTTTCACTGTCGATAAAAAAATACGGTAGAGAGCCGGCGAAACAACAGCGGAAAGGGATAAACAGAATGAGACGTAAGCTTTTGTTGTGCTTTTTGTCGGAGCTACTTTGCCTTTCATTTAAGCTTAAGTTTATATTGAAACCGGCCATTTTACTTAAATTCACTCATTTTCAATTGTGCATTGAGAACAAACAGTTAAGATTACTTATAGTTCTTGGATTACCTCATATCCTCACCGTCATTTATGTTTTTAACAAACGTTTTTACTAAAAAGCTGATACTTCGTTTTCGTTGTCATTTTGCGGTAAGTGTGTAGCGGCAAATTTTAGCATTTTTGAAAGATTTAAAATAAAAAGGCCCGCAAAATGAGGAATGACTCAGTATGTATATAATAAACACAATACCACATGGAAAGTGCTTTGTACGGTATTTACGCACTCGTTGTTTTTGTATCAGAAATCTTACTCGTTCGCTGCGCTCACTCGTTCGATTTCTGATACGTCAACAACTCGTGCGTAAATACCGTACGCCAGCACTTTCCATGAAGTATTCTCTATATAACGAACCTCTAACGATTTAACGAAGTCATCGGTATAAAGAACGATTTTTCCTTACCCCAATAATTCAGTCAAACCTCTCCAAATCTTGGGGATCGAAGAAAGTGGCTGTTGTGGAGAGGTGACCGTTATGGGGAGGTAGGAGTGTTATATGACAAACATTTTTAGGGGAGTGCAGCACGTTTATTGTGCCAAGTTCATGCTTACTGTATCGCGTAGAGGTAATCCAATCATAAATAAAAATATACTGTACAAGGAAAACTTCAATAACGTTTTGAATCAAAATGTTCTCATGACAAAACGAGCAGATTTCGCAATATTCGCTATAAGTATTGTAGACAATTTAAGCTTACTGCAGCATAGACTGCAAAACAGTCCGTATTTTTGCGTATTCAAGTAAGCGCGAGCAGTCAAACAAAAGGTCTGGAACGAGGCTGAAAACAGAGAGAGACTGGGGAGAGACGCTATACGCCTTAAGGGCGTGTGAGGCTCGCGCGCTTCGCACGCGCAAGACTCTTACACCACGCTTTACCGATTTCTTTACTGATTTTGAGAAAAAAACCCGACTGTTTTGCAGTCTAACTACAGCAGAATAACTGAACACAATCACATATAGATACTATTGCCATTAAACATCAACTGTTATGGATCAAATGTTACGACCCGTACCATTTCTGACTTTCTCGTCAGTGGCTGAAAAAACTGGCCGTTGTCGAGAGGTTATTTGGGCAGTTAATTGGGGACGCGCTTAAGTGGCCGTTGCCGTTGTAGAGAGGTTTAAACAAGAATCGATGTATGGACTGTCAGCCGGGACGAAAAAAAAGGCCATTACTGGAGGTTCGACTGTAGTAAAATATGTGGAAAAGAACCTCGATATAACGAAGGGCCAACGGAATGCCAAAATTTGTTCGCCATAAGGAGGTTTCCTTACATCGGGCTTTCTCTTCATATAATTATAATTTATTATTACTGGGGTTGAAAAAAAAAATCTTAGGTTATACCAAGGCTGTCGTTATACCGAGGCAGTCGTTACATAGAGCTTCGTTATCTCCAGGTTGCACTGTATAGTGAACAAATTTTGCCAATCCCTTAGCTCTCTGCTATATCGAGGTTCCACTGGAGAAATAATCACGACGGGCGTTTTCCATATAGCTTAATTAAAGAAGCTTTGTTTAACTGCATACTTCGAGCTGGAAACGACGCCACTGGCTTAGTTCCTGATTTACGCCTGATATAATTTAATAGTTTTTTTTTTTCATATTTATAAATCATGTGAAACATACACACCTTTGGAATCAAGAGCCACTGAATACTCCGGACATGCTGCCAGGCAGTGGAAACCGGAAATACCTTTCGCCAGACAGAAATTTGCCCAGTGGCCACTGTAACAGGCATCACTGAAGATCATCGGGTAACAACCGCCCACAGGCACCATGTCAAAAATCTCTTGGATACTGATTGTCCCATCGGCAAAGCACCAGTTTCCAGTACCAATCTCACCATGCCCAGTATAGTATAACATAGGCTTGGCCTTTGTTTGCTTGCATTTTTTAAAGACCATGGTGACATGTCGGAGAGCTGCGGTCTTAGTTAGATAAAGATCTTTAACAGTGTTGAACAGCTTTGTTCCAACTACATCTTCCATGTTGACCAAATCTCGAGTCACGCCAGCAAGAAATGCACCATTCCTATCTCCCTGTGCATCTCGAGTTCTCCTTTTAGAAATTCCAATTTCTTTTGGTGGATCAGTAGCTCCTGAGAGTAGTAACCAGAGTGGTTTCTCACTTGTTGGTTTCCACTCTGACCCACAATCGATTCGGCCAACATATGGCCCCTGAGCAATTGCTGAGCCAGCATATAACAACATGGTGCTGCTAAGAAAATACAATGTTTTAGAACCTTGTGCTGTTTTTGCTCATAATCTGATCACTAATGATACATTCTAATTATTCGCCAGATAGTTCTGCTCTAGAAAATATTAAACACTAAAATTGTGACTGAGAGCAGTGGAAGCAAGTCGAAATAACCTTGATACCAGACCAAGAAGATGTAAGCGTGCGAAACGAGTATAACTGTAAGTAGAGGCGTGTCCGTTTCACTACTTGAATTGGGACCTTACGATCCGACAACGGCGACGTCCATGAAAACGTCGCCGGAAAATAGACTTGGCATCCTTTAAAACTATTTCGCGATTATCTCAATACGCCCGGATACTTAAAAGAAGGGAATTTTAGTTGGAACTGAAGAGAGGGCACCGCGCCCGAGTGCAGACAGAGATGCTAGAATTTATCTCCCGCTTGCCGTTCCCATTCTCAAGTGAACTTAAAATTTGGTCATTTCACGTCCTAGTTGTGCAGGGATGGCAAAGAAATGTGCAAAAAAGCGTGATGCACGTACAGCATTCTTGTTTTGCTCATTAAACCTATTGCTTTTTCGACGTTCCGGTTAATGGGAGACCGACGCGGAATCCCACCCTTCACCATTGCTTACAATTTTTTGGACACTCAGGGTATAAAAAACACTGGTACCAAACCAAATTTATAAAACAAAAAGGAGAATAATATTCAAACCTCTTTACGCCGTTAACCTTCATGTGGTTTTATTAAAATTAACCGATTTTTAATACAGTAGGAACGCTGACTACTATTTCCCCTTTTTCAATCTCCCATTCCCATTCCTCACTCATACCCCTTACTCCCACTCTTTTATCAACCATAAGCATAACAAATGAAACAAACACGTTCAAACACAAAATCACGATTAAATGGACGGACGTTCGTAAAACCAGGACACGGAACATTCCGGAACATCCCGGAACACCAAAAAATAATTTTCATGAAAAAAAAAATAAAATAAAATATATTTTTAAAAAATAACATTATAAGTAATCTAAAATAGCAAAAATAAAACAAAAAGAAAACAAAAACAACAACAACAACAAATAAAGAAATAAAGAAAAAGCAGCTGGTATCATCTTCGAGTATGAGAAAACACTTTTTTGTTGCAAGTAATTTGTTGGGCGAGTGAGGGTCCATGCAAATGACAGTAATGAATGAGGGTTTGCCTCTAAATTCAAGATATATTAAAACGGGTCGCGAGGAGGGGGTTTTGAAGTTTTCCTCAGACAGCCATCTCTTGTAATTGTTTGCCACGCGATTATAATCATTTGACAGTTATCCATTTACGACTTTGCGACCGTAAGAGGAGCTTAGGGGCACGTGGCTTAGGACTTTAGTGGATACGATTCATATTCGCCGTGAATAGTTGCAGTGGCCGTAGAAGTGCAGTGGTAGTTTCCAACTGTTGTCAGTTAGACTGAATTTTAGCCGTCTCCTGAGTCACAAGTATAAAAATTTGCGACTCTGTGAGATGGCTGAAGTTCAAACTAGATCACAGTCCCCTATTTTCTTCCGCCAAGTTGAAGATGGTGATCGCTGCTGTCAAAGTGATTTGGGTACCCTCTGACGATAAAACTGGTCCGAGTGAAGTTATTTGACAGATAAATTTTGCAATCTATTTATCTGCTAATTCAAATGGTTGCTAACCTGTTTGTTGCTTTGAATTTTCTGACGTTACTGGATTTTAGTGAACAAGATTTCATTTTGGAAACAGTAATGTGTAGCTATATAATTCTCAGCCACTAGACTTTCTTGAATTAAATCCTTATGTTGATTTGTGTCAGATAACAAAGTTTACTATTCATCCCACATAACTTAAAAAAAAAATTGAGTTCTGCGGAATAAAATAATTACCCAATCATGAAACTACAACTTTTATGGGAGGGGCTGTTGTGATTCCCGTGATCATGGAGATCCATACAGGCTTCCTTGGCCTGATTCAGACTCCAGACATGACACTGACACGACGGAACCAAATGTTCTGAGATTGACATATTTAGCAAGGTGGACCACAAAAACCAAACAAACAAAGAAGGGTGGTTCCTTTCCTTTCTATTCACCTTTGACGCGGACAAGTAACAAACAGATACTGTCAATATTCAGTGAATTTCGCTGAACAATAGTGTTTACAAAAATAACAAGTCACATAAGCAAACCTTCAAGTGTCTTCGATAAATTGCGCTTGCAGACCTCGAAATATAGGGGGAACAACGTTTGTGCACACAGAGTGAAAAAAAATGCAACGTCACAGGGGATTCCGAAATTAAATCACTGTGACAGTGGCAATCACCACCCTCAACCTGGCGGGAAAAAAGAGGGGACTGTAAACTAGCTTGAATTTCAGCCGTCTCCATGATGTCGCAAACTCCTCTTTCGACTAGAGGAGATGTCTGAAATATTAGGCTAACTGTAAACAGTATAGAAACTACTGGAAATGTGAGTATTGTCCACTAAAATCCAAAGACAGGACCCCCTATTTCTAAGCTATTCTTAAGTTTGCAGAGCATAGTCTGTAAGTAATTCATGTCAACCTCAAGAAAGCAAAGCACCTCAAGTAAGCAAATGTCAGTTATATATATAAGGAGACTACATGTTGGCTTGACATGAAGTACCTACCGCCTTGGCTAGACATGAAATACTTTGCGACATTTCAGACCATCTCAGAGCTACATAATGGATAACTGTCAAACGATTAAACTCTTGGTAAACAATTACAAGAGGTGGCTGTGTGAAGAAAGCTTCAAAACCCCCCTCCTCATGACCCATTTTATTTTTGAATTTAGGGGCAAGCCTTCACTCATTACTGTCTTTTACATGGACCCTCACTCACCCAACAATATTGTTTTCTCATACTCAGGGATGATTACCGGTTTCTTTTTCTTTATTTCGTTATTTTTCGTTTTTTTGTTATTTTATGTTATTTTTTACAAAAATTATTTTATCATTATTATTTTATTTTATTATTATTTTTGTAGGAAAATTATTTTTATTTTTCCATGTTCCGAGATGTTCCGGCATGTTCCGGAATGTTCCGTTTTCCGGGGTGTACCGTACTCTGCTACACAGCCGTTTTTAGTGTCGTCACGCAATGCTCCTCCATTTGGGGAGGAGCGTTGCGTGACGACACTAAAAACGGCTGTGTAGCAGACTAGGGTTTACCGACGCCCATTTCAAAATCGAAAATGATTATCACGAGCTTCCGTCCGCAATAACAAATGCTCCCTTTGCAGCCTTTGAAATAGCAAATCGTTCGATGGCAGGGCATTTCGAATTCTAAACGAAAAACTTGGAGTTTGTAATTAGTCGAGAAAAGGATGAAAATCATGTGTTTATCAAAAACAAATAAGGAGAACGATAAAATAATCAGACATTCATAACAGCATTGTACATTGTAGATATCGAAAATGAAAGTCACCCAGATTATCACGTACTTCCGTCTGCCAAACAAATGCTCCCTTTAAAATAGCGAATCGTTCGATGGCAGGGCATTCCGAATTCTAAAGGAAATTTAACTTGGAGTTTGTATTTAGTCGAGAAAAGGTTGAAAAGTATGTGTTTCTCAAAAACAAATAAGGGAACGATAAAATACAAGTCAGACATGCATTGTGTACTCGGCAGTCGACACACTTTATAAAAAGACATATAAATCGCTTTCATTGATCCAAAACCTTGTCTTTCGGAGACAGTCAACTTTACTGATCAACTTACCTCATGGTGAAGTAGAATAGTCTTCCTGGAACGTAAGTAAATTACGGAAATTCAAAGTAATTTTCGTACGTTAAACCGCGTCAGAGAAACCGTGGCACGGCGGAGAGGAAGACGAGGAAGCTATTCGCTATAAATAACACCTTACGTAATGGAAGACTGGGCGGAGTGGTGTAGCGGGAGAAGCGGGGGAGGGGTTCTCAACCATAACGTTGGTCTGTAGGATCGAAAAATGGGTAACCTCAGGGTAATCGGCTCCTGGTAACCTGCGATCAGGCGTTTCTTTTTTCTTTTTTTAAAATAATCTCAGGGTAAATAATGGGTCGCGACTACAGTGGAACCCCGCCTTACGGTCAACTCGTTATTACGCCCCCCCTCTTTTCTTTTCGCCGCCTGGCAAAACGGCCATACATTTTTCCTGTAAAAAAAACTCCTCGTTAATACAGTAACACGTTAATACGGTCATTTTTTTTTTTTTTACCCATTGGTGACAGTATTACCGGGTTTCCACTGTTTATAACTATTGAGGTTTTGTGTGATAAAGATGGGTTACACTGCATTTTGAAGCTGTCTTTTGTATTGTCTGGTCTATCCTTTCCTTACCTTTCTTTCAGAAATTAGATAGCGCCATTGAAAAGAATCGCAGCTCTCAATGCAGGACGCATGCTTTTGCGGCCCAGCCTACTCCCTCATAAGCCATGTAAGATGTGCCTCACGGTATGGTTTTTGCGTCGTTTCGGTCTGAAAACGGGTATAGACTTTGCCCATTTTGGTTTAGAATCGAGTATGGTTTTCGAGGTCGGTATGAACGTATTCTCCGTTTCAATTCCAAAAGAGTAATATGCGAATTTGAAATGGACTTGTTTTTTTTGGCGTTCTAATCTAACAAGTAATGATGACGTAATTTTTGGCTATGTGTGTCTGAACACGGGTACAGATTTTAGAGGCCAGGGGCCCGTTTTTCGTAAGGCACGGAAACTTTTCGGGCCCAAAGAAAAATTTAAAATCTAAAAACTGCTGAATACTAGCACGATTCCTAGTCTCATTCTATTATTTTCAAAATTGTTAAAACTTTGGCCTTGAATGTAAACGCGGCAAACAACTGTCCGGGCTGGAAGAGTTGCCGAGACTTCCGAAAAACAGGCCCCCGCTGTGAGAACGGGTGTGGAAAATGACCTTTTTTGGTCTGAAATAGGGTGAGGATTTGGGGAACCAGGCGGCACACCCCGACGAAGAATTCACGGGAGTACACCTCCGCCCCGGGTTTTGCGGCATATATCCAGCGGTTTCTACAATTTGTCACGCTACAGCCTCGTTTCCACGACTTTGTAGTGACGTCACGTACATGTTGTCACGCTGACTTTCTCTGTGCAAGTCGCCCCCAGGACAACAAATGAGCAGCAAAATTATTTTTACGATTTTTACCTTCACAAGTGCATCGGCCTTACATTATATCGTCTCGCTGATTTTTTCTGTGGTAGTGTGTAGTTCTGGCTGTTTCCAGGGACCTCCTCTTCCTAACAAACCATTTATAACCGTATGGAACACACCTACGGATCGATGTGAACCAGAGTGGAACGTCTCTTTAGATCTGAGTGCTTTTGACATTGTGGTGAACAAAGAACAGAAGTGGTGTGGAGAATACATCGTTATATTCTACGACACACAACTTGGATTGTATCCGTATTTTGACAGCAATGGAAAAGCTTTCAACGGTGGTCTACCTCAGGTAGTGGACTTGTTATTGTAGTAGAGTAACTCTAGGGTGTAGGGTCTGTAGGGTGTAGGGTTATTTTTTTGGCTTGCAACTACGTGACAACGTGACAACGGAAAATTTGAGAAAAAAAAAGAAAGAAATGAAAGGTTAAGATACAAGCGGTTGGAAACGTTTTTGTTATTCGTCGACCAACGTGGCAGCCATGAAGTCAGCTGCAAATTTGCAGCAGCTAAAATTGACAATTCATTAATTTCACCAAAAGGAGAAGGAGAGGTTACTACGCACTAAGCTTTTCCCTTTGCAGCTCTACCACCTGGTTAGCTTAGTTGGGAGAGTAGCCTGCAGCTATTGCATGCATATTTTGGAAGGGCAAAAGCTGCTTGTCTTATGTTCTTATTGCTGTAGCCGCGATCTTTGATTTTATGACAGAGGAAGATTGGGGAGAGTAGAAATAGTATCCTTAGGGTAGGTGTTATGGAACTTCTGCGAGCAAAAACATTTGTGCGTGTGAAGAAAATACCTTCACTGCAGGCTATTGGGAGAGCATTAGTCTGCCAACCGGGAGGTCGCGGGTTTAAACCACTCAGGGTCTTTAAATAACTGAGAAGAAAGTGCTGCCCTTGTAATTACATCTGCAAACTGTTAGACTTTCTTGTCTTCTCAGATTAGGACAAAAAACCATAGGTCCAGTCTCACAACACTTTCATTTATTTGGTTCTTGTGGGATGTAAAAGAACCCACACCACTGTTCGAAAAGAGTAAGGGGACGTAGACCCCGGTGGGGTGACCAACCTTACCTGGACTAGATGGGTTATCTGTAAGGAGAGATCTTAATATAGCAATTCCTTCTTTAGGAGTCGCAATGGCTACCTGTAAATAGTGTAACTATATGTATGTGCCAACTTTAAGGTACACAATGCCCATTTTTTTCTTTTTATGTGATAGCTTGGAAATCTTACAGCACACTTAATAAAAGTAGAGCAAGATGTAGCAAATATCATTCCTGATAATGAATTTCAAGGTATTGGTGTGATTGACTGGGAATACTGGAGACCTGTGTTTGACAGAAACTGGGATAAACTCTCCATCTATAGGTCTGTCAGAATTTTGTTTTGTCTTTAAATAGTTGAACACTTTGATTGTTGAGCCTCTATATTGGGTATTTCCAAACAAATCAAAGTAGCAACAATTGCTGTTGATGGAGCAAAGATCTTAGGGATTAAAGCACTGATCACATTCCTATTCCAATCAAGACTGGTAAAAAATCTGCCCAAAAATTGTGCTGCATGATCCGAGTTTTTGCTTTGCTTATTAAAACTGTTGCTTTCTTGATTTTCTCGTTTCCAGCATCGTTGTGGTTGCACTAAGCTCACTAGTAGCATAATTTACCATGCAAAATTTGTTCTTGATATTATTGAATATTTCACCCCCAAAAAAGCTAATTTGATGGAAAACACATGACAAAATTGGCATCCACAGGTACCCATTCAGAGGCTCATTATGGGTATTCTACATTAGTAATATTAATCTAAGATAGGCTTGGTTGTGTTTCTCCTCAGTGAAGAATTTCAATTATTGCAATTTGTCCAATTCACTTTAGCCAGATTATTTTTACAAAATCAGAGAAGATCAAGATTAATTTGAATTTTTGGTGTTGGTGAGATCTTGTTACTGCAGTTGTAAACTGAAGAACACCTAATTCCAGGTTATTGCCTGAGACCAACTAAGTGACTAATTTATAGTTATGAATGATTGCATTGGTATATCTAAAATCAGAATCAATCAATAAAAATCAAACTCATTCATTCCATCGATCAATTGATTCAGTTGAATGAATTAATGAATGAGTGAAAAGAGAGAAAATTAATGACCAAATTTGTCCTTGTTAATTCTGGAGTTAAGTATAAGTTGGCACTTAGAGAACTTAAGTGATGCAAAATGATAAACAAAATGGATTATTTTTCAATTTATAGGAACAAGTCTATGGAACTGGTCAAACAGAGACACCCTTTGTGGCCAGATAGTTTAGTTGAAGACATAGCTAGAGTAGAGTTTGAAACAGCAGCCCGAGAATTCATGGAAGAAACTTTGCTGCTTGTTCAGAAACTTCGCCCAAAGTCCTTGTGGGGATTTTATGGATTTCCAAATTGTTACAATGACAAAGATGCTGACAATTGCAGTCAAGTCACCATGAAGTACAATGATCAAATTTCTTGGTTGTTTGAGTGGAGTTCAGTCCTGTTTCCATCAATATATCTTCATGACAAGGCAAAACTGAATAGCACATTGTTTGTAAAGTACAGGCTTCTGGAAAGCTTTAGATTCGCTAAGAAGTTGGATGGAAGCCCCATTCCTGTGTTCCCGTATGTTCGAATAACATATGCAGTATCTCAGGTGTACCTCAATGTGGTAAGTCAATTAATGTTTATCCTCAGCAGTATTTTTATATGAGCACTAGTGCTTAGCGAGGTTAGGTAAATGCCTGAAACAAATAATTTAAATCAAACATGATGGTGTTAAGACCCCAACTTGCCTAAGGCAAACCAGCTGGCTACATTGTATTTACAAGCATAGTTGAGGATTGAACTCAGGACAACCAACAGGTTGGGATTCACACCAGTTTCCACCCTTTTACGGAAATCGGTCAGATTTTTCATAATAAATATGTTTTTAACAATAATAGAACTTTTCAAGTTGAAATCTGGAAAATGGTCTGGACAAAAAAATGTTCTCTTTTTCCAATTTCTGAATATTAGATGTGCCCTCCATAGATCTGAAACCTGGGAAAGAGAACTTCCAAAATAAATTCCCAGAGTTAAATTCCCCCGGGCTCCCCTAGAAGCTTGCTTCCTCTGCCCCTCATTCATAGAAAATCGCTCAGTATTGATCCCAGATCCTTGCCTGACCAATTAGGAACAAATCCAGCTAGTGGTCATGGAGGGATTTGAATGTGGGGCCTCTGAATTGCAAGTCCAGCGATTTAACCACTTGGTCAGGGTGTCTCCTAATTAATTGTGAAGAACTAGGGAAATTTTACACCAGAAAGCCCACAACAAATTTCGAGAGCCTCCAGGTGAAAATTAGACCGCAAGTGGTTGTCCTTCTTTCCTCAGAGCCACCAATGGTGAGCGAAAAGCTAAAATAATGTCCTCACATTCTGCAGTGTCTCAAAAGAAAAACATCAAGAGACTGCTCGCCGTCTACATGTAGGTGAAAAGTTGCATGACCCTTCAAGTGCTAAATTGGAGCCTTTAACTACTGAGCTACACTGTGCGTATACTGGAGTCTCTGGGCCTATCATGCCTTCTTAGGATTTGCTGTATGGGTACCCAGATTAAAACCATAATTATGATAAATTCTCTTTGATTGTGAGTTTTAGCAGGACTTGTTTGGCCAAGATGGTTAGATGTTGGCTTCAATTTTTTTTCTTTGTGCTTGTTTTTATTGGCCTTGATGACATATTTTAAAAAAAACTTGGCCTGTATCCAGGCCTTGGCCAATATTGCATAATTATGTGCATGTGTCAGTATTGCTTCATGCTTATAAAGTCCATTTTGTAAATGCATGTATAAAATAATGTTAAAAAAATAATGTTCATGGCTCAAGGATCAATGTAGAAAGTTGCTGCACTACATTGTCTTGTGGACCAGCAGTTTTTTCCCATACAAACCATTACAATCTTAGTCTTTTGTGCAAATCACCTAGTCAAAATTGGCTTTCAAGCCATAATATTAATTTTTTTTTGCATGACATTGTCTGTGAATTGCAAACGGCCTACTCCCAGCAGCCAAGTTGCTTGCTCCACCTCCTCCCTCCTTCCAAAAGACACCCTCTCCACCACTTTCAAGGTATGGCATTCTTATTGTTGTTATCTATTTGACAGGCTGATATAATGTCAACAATACTACAATCTGCAGAACAAGGAACAGCTGGGGTGGTAATCTGGGGAGACCACCATTCTGAGGCCACCAAACCTGACTGCATTGAAATAAAGAACTACATTGACAATTTTCTGGGACCTCTTGTTAAAAGCATCACCACCATAGCGCAGAATTGCAGTCAGGAGTTTTGCAATTTACATGGAAGGTGCAAATTTCAGTTAAATCCTGATTTATATTACAAAGCGTCAAGTCTTGAGGTTAACCTAGATTTTTTATCTGATCAATGGAAATTTTTGAGCTGTCGTTGCTATAGTGGATGGAGTGGAGAAGACTGCAGGCATCACCTTTAAGTGTAAACAAATACCAAATTAATTTTTAATATAAAATCAATAAAATTTGCTCAAGACAGAGAGGTATGTTTTTTTGTGGTTCAGATATTTACCCTGGGTTGAAAAAGTAAAATTTAAGACGGTATCCACCAGGAAATTGAGTTATTTTAATTTAAGACGTAATAAATCATCTGTAGTAACACCAAAGAGAATTTCTTGTGGAAGTCCGAGGAAAGGAATGTCAAATTTCACAAGAATTGTGATTACACCTGAAAAATTCCGAAAATTTCATGTGTAAGAAGTAATTCTGTGAAATTTGACATTCATTTTCTCAGGCTTCGATGAGAATTTTTTTTTCGGTGTTAGTACAAATGATTTATTACATCTTTAGCCCTTGAAAAATGTTAGAAAGAATGCAATATGCTGTAAATTATTCTGGTACAAGATTTTTGTCCACTGAAAATTAAAATTACTCAATGCCCTAGTGGATTCCGTCTTAATTTTCCTTTGTTTTAACTACAAGTGGTGTTACAGTTTTTTTTTCACAGATTGTACAAAAATGTACATTCCCAGTCTATTCTAATAAGGCTTGAACTGTTTGCTTCACCAACTTCTCTACATTTTTCAGTTCACTTCCCTTGAATTGATAGTTAATTATTGCATAAAACATTGAACACTTTATGTAAAAAACCTTTAAATTCTCTGAGCTATGATTTTTATTCTGTCTCGGACAACCAAAAAGCATCAAAAAATACTTGAAGCCAGGCCACTACATTCAAAGTTGAAGAAAATTCAAGGACTTTTCAAGGACTTACATAGAAATTTAAGGACTTTTCAAGGAAAAATGGATTTCAAGAACTTTTCAAGACTGTGAGAACCCCGATTTCTGAAGAGTCTAAAAGGCCAGCACTATTTAAAGGTTAAGGGCAAAAACCTCACACACAACAGAGAAATAGGTCAACCATTTCAACCACTGCATGGTTTAACTAAGGTCTGGCAAAGAATGTTTGATGAGGCTGTACAGAGGGCACCCAGTTGTAGCCTGCGTAGCTGGCGGTATTGGGTAGTAGTCGAGTGAGATTTGGCGGCAGAGCCGTTGTAATATAGTCGAGTGAGATTTGACGGGGGAGCCGTCACGAGCAGCGAGGAACACGGATCCGCTGCCAAAACTTTAATCTCGCACCCACACAATACCGCCAGTTACGCAGGCTACCCAACTGGCACTTCCTCTCTTTTATAACTAGATCAGGTGCCAAATTGTTCATGTGAGACAACGACTTCTCAACCACCCCTCCTTTTTTGAAATGGAGGTTTGGTAAATTGGTGTTTGTTCAGTTCAAAGAAGGGATGCACAGTATTTGACCTCATAACTAAGGGTCTCCCTTGCTTAGTACAAGCGCGAAGGATGGTCGGGCACTGCTTCTACCAATGTACACCAGACCTCTCAGGCCATATACGGGACACACAAGTTTTTTTTTTTTTTTGCCAACTGAACGCTTACAAACAAGCGTCTATTGAACAATATAGACATCAACAGAAGCGGATCTTTCCAAAGTGGAGAATAAGCAAACGCGTTTTTTAACTAACTTGCGTGAAAATGGCCTAAGAGTTTGGTGAAAGAACGACTTGCTTTAATTACTCTATGAAAACAGGGTGATCAATAAAAGAAGTTTGAAACTGTTGTTTTATTAAAAATATTCTCTCCATTTTAACAACTAATAGCTTTAATGCAGCTTCTTGATTTAGTTTTTAAAATTCATAGCCTCGACGCAATTATTTTGATATGATGTACACGTATGCATTGAATATTGTTAAATGCCATGGAATACAAATCTTTAATGTACAATCATTCCCCTTCTGTTTTATAAGCAAAACCATGACTATTGCAACACTGTAATGTGAAATTTAGGCAGCTCATTTGTTTTGTTTGTTTGTTTTTATGATTTTTCAACTTCATGGCCGGACAAACAGAGAAATCTGGACCCTACCTTATTTCTAGACCTGCAGAGCCAAGAAAAATCACCCCCACCCCCCACCCCGCCGCCTATCTTACCTTCTTGCAGATCTAAATGGGCCAATGATCTGCGTTTTCATTTGTATTTGTTATTTAAACCTTCCTTTACTGCACTAAGGGTTTGTTTAATGTTTCAGCCAATAAGGTGCCAATTTTCACTGTCTGAATTTGGTTGAATTTTGTGACACGTCTTCTTTAAGCACCTGAAATGATCGGCGTCTGAATATCTGTAAATGCAAGGAGAGCCACAGCATTCCACTGTAATTAGCCTGCATGGCAGCTGGCCCATGCATTGGTTTTGGTTTCCCTATACAGGCAGTTTAGAGTGTTTCCGATTCAGGCTATCCACTGTCTGCCCTTGCGAAAAGAGATTACCACTTGGAGGCTAGGGGGCATATACAAACGAATTAAAGATAGAGACTGATGATTTTCGTGGCTATAAAGTGCTAGGAGTTTATGGTAAGTTGAGCGAATCCAATTAAAGTTTTGTCGTCCACAACTTCATTTGAATTGCTGCTTGATTTCTGAAACAGAAAGTTATCAAATATTTAAGTGACATGCAAAAAATTCCTGGCAGCTACGAGCTACTTAACAAAAACTCGGAGGACTATTTCAGGACGAAATTTGCGCACAAGCTCTCCATTAACCACATACGTGAGTCACGTATGACCTCTCGCGCACGCAGACAAGAGAAACCCGCGGAGAGTACAAGTAATAAAAAAGTGCAAGTCTTTTAGTTCTTCTCGCTAGAGCAAAGTGTATAAGGTTTTCAAAGGTTTGATAGCAATAAAGATGTAAGGCCTGCTAACCCCTTCAGTGGCGGATCCAGCCAAACCCCACCCCCGCCCCCCCTCCACCTTATCTCAAGATCTATACCAACCAGGTGACGTATTTTCCGAGAACCCGGTGAGCATAGAGATTCCATGCCACTGGGTCTCGGGGGTCGGGACGCAGAAAGGGAAATTTGTCGGTCTGTAAGCCCATGAAGGGAATGAAAATATTAAGCAAGGGTGAACTGCAATACTTACCAATGGCAACATCATGGACTTACTGCTTGGTGGATCATCAATTACTTTTTTAAGATTAGCGGCAACTGAAAAGGATAAAGAAAAATAAATAATGTAACGGACGAAAATCCCTGAAACCAAATTGTAGTAGGAGAAAAACTTCACTTACAGATTACTTTCGTTCCTATTAAAATGATTACCAGTAAACCCAAACAAACAGCATTTCGAAATAACAACAACAACGACAAGTTTATTCAGTATTACCATTTTGTACAGGTGTTACCGATTAAAATAACAATAATAAACAGCTAAGTTTAAGGAAATACAGGTATGATGGAATGGTAGAATTAACTATGTTTCTTTCGTCTTTCAAATGTTTGAAAGATGAAATTAGCAGCTAGCCTGCTGATATGTGAATCAGTATTGTTAAAAAGAAAACAGACTTTATCATGGATATTGTAATGTGTAAATAATGTATTTCGGTCGTTGATTTTAATAAAAAGAGTCTTTCTCAAATCATTGTATTGATCACACTGAAATAATGTGTGCAGTTCATTTTCAACCGAATTTTGGTTGCAATGATCACAGATTCTAAGGTCTTAGATGATCACAGATTCTAAGGTCTTCTTCCTGTCCTATTAGATGTCATTGGCGCAAGGAAGTAAAAGCAAGTGATTTAGCGAACAGCCTCGGCTTTTTCATTCGATGCAAATCTATAGCTGCCCTCGGTCAGTGTAGACGAGCGAAAAAAGCAAGCGAACGATAAACCGCGGGAAGAGAGAAGGGAAGAGCCTCTAAGTATCTTTACAAATACCACAGTGTGCCCACTACCCCGCCAACTTGAAAATGAAAAATGTTAAAATACCAAAATCTGCTGTGTAGGAGGGTTTCACACGCTCGCTTTGCGTTTTCTTTGTCTCTACGTGCGCGAAGCTAAACAATTGACGAGGTTGACGTCAACTGCCAAAAAAACACCAATCATAGGGTACCAAGAGCTGGTATACTGGAATGAGGTATTGAAAATAGTGCTTTCAGTCCACTTCCCTGCCTCTCCCCAGCTCCCCCGCGGGTTTTTTCGCAACTTTTCTCTATACGCTATCTTGGAGCCTGGAATGGGCTATTTGTAAGTTTGATAGTTCAACCGAAGTACAAAGATCTTTCGTTCAACCACCCAGATTTACCGTCAGTAGAATGGCTTTGCGGCATGCGACTCAAGTGCTTCCCTGTCTAAGTTTATCCAAGAGGAGCAAACTCGTTCGCGACTCGTTCCCTACGCGATAAGAATCTCGTCAGGGTGTGCTACGCGATTCTCGTATCGTGCATTAGATTTCGTGATCATGCAGGGACGGCAAAGAAAGGTACCAAAAAGCGTGCTGCACGTGCGAAATTTGATATTTCGCTTATCAAACCCAATGTTTTTGACCTTCTCGTTGCCGTTGTCGTTGCTTAAGCCGTGGGTACGCACGTAAATGAAATAGAGACGATGCAAACATAAAGGTAAAGCATGGTTCAACTTTTCACTTTACGTGCGACTGCCTCTATTATTTTTATCTACGTAAGAATTTTGTAGAATATAATTTAGGAGGGTCGGGTAAACTTTTAATGCTACACAGTTTTAATCAAGAGTGGTGCCACAAGTCATTCTCATTTCTGGCAGCAAAACTTTGGAATTCTTTACCCACGTATGTTAGAAGCGCCAAGGATATTCTCACTTTAATCATAACTATGACAAAATTCTCAAATCTGATTGGCTATCAACTGTCCTGATTTCAGCACTAACAGGACAGTGTAATAGGACAGTACGCGTCATGCCTAAGTAATAGGACAGTACGCGTCACGCCTAAGTAATTGGACAGTACGCGCCGGATATCGCGCGCGCTCTTAAATGGCTTTTTTTTTTTCATTGCTAGAAAGAAACTCTCTGAATTTCTTGTGCTTTCATTTAAACAAGCCTAAAAAATCACAAATTTGGCTATAGTCCAGAGTAACAGAACTTCGTGTTGTGCATTTCGGTC